TGTGAAGCACACATGAGGTCACCCTGTGAAGCACACATGGGGTCACCCTGTGAAGCACACATGAGGTCACCATGTGAAGCACACATGAGGTCACCATGTGAAGCACACATGAGGAATCAACTTGACAGCAATGGTTTGTTTTTGTTGTTGTTGTTTGGATTTAATATGAGTCCAGGATAAGATGAAGAAACAGAGAAGGAGAAAGACACTCATTCCTTATTAAGGCTAAAATTATTTCTACAAAAACATTTCAAATTGCTCCCTGGTTGGACTCACAAGTATTTACCTTAAAATGGAAAAATAGAACTAAGATCTTAATGGCATGGCATTCATTTTTTGGTTTGGTTTGTTATATTCAATTTAGAATATAACTGCTGAGTTACTGACAACAGTAGCAGGGATCACTGGACTGGTCCTCTCTCTGGCTTTAATCTTGATCCTAACTTCTTCAACTGAGTTCATCAGACAAGTCTCCTATGAGTTGTTCTGGTATACACACCACGTTTTCATCTTCTTCTTCATCGGTCTTGCTGTCCATGGAACAGGGTAAGTTCATACCATGCACAGTTGATAATATTCTTATCTCTCTGAACCTCAACGTCATCCTTGAAGGTCTTTCTGAGGAAGTTGTATGAGATATGGTAACTAAGGGACACATATAATGTGTGGAAAAGCACATTCACTTTTTTTTAATTCTTTTTAGTAACACTGAAAATAAGTTATTTAGTGTTGAGGTGTTAAGTTTATTTTTCCTAGCTGACTTTGTTGATGAGTTGTGGTCTGTTTAGAAGATTCGGGAATTCTAATGAAAGTTGGATGACAATAGATCTGTGTTTCATTCACTACCTGCTTCTACAATTCAATTTATCTGAGATTTGTCACATGTCTATTTTCAACACCAAAATTCACTGCTATTTAACCAGAACCATCATCTAGGAAAATCAGGGTTATGGAGGAGACAATGTGAGAAAGGGGTCACTAGTCACCAACATGTTTGTGGGTGAGCCCTTCTCATTCCCCATCATGGAAGGTTGGATGTTTCCCCATCATGGAAGGCTGGATCAGATGACTTCAAGAATTTTTCTAGTTTTTCTCAGACATTCCATAAAATGGTGTTCAAACACTCGAAGTCTGTCAGATTCTGATATTCCTTTCATCAGGAAACTAGGGTGGCACCCGAGCTTTCCTGATACCAGTTGCCACTGAGTTGAGTCCAGTCATGGCACCCTCACGTGTGTCAGAAGTGTAATCCATAGCGTTTTCAATGGCTGATATTTCAGAAGTAGACCACCTTCCCCAAGTTGACTCAAACCTTCAGCCTCTGAATTAGCAGCCTCGAACATGACGGTATGCTCCACCTAGAGACTCCTCCTAAAGTAAAGAACCCTCAAATACAATATTTTGAGCTCTAACTTTTATCAAAATGGCCCTGAATCAGCTAACAAATTGCTGTCCATGAGCCACGTTGCCCCATGTTAATCAAGTCATACATTGGCACTTTTTCTTTCTGTTTTACAAATTTCAAAGCATGACCAACCTGAGCCTGAGAGCAGTTCTGTAAAGGAGAGCTGGAGCTGTTATCCTCACTTCATAAAGAGGAAGCACATGTCCAGAGAGTTAAGTGACTCACTCAAGACTCACTCAAGGCAGAGCCCAGGATGAGGGTTTTCAGACTACCAAACCTATGACCCTAACAATCCCTTGAAGGATGGATCTTTTCTGTTGTAAATTAAAGATTCCTCAGAACTTGCAAGAATGTGGTCTGGTTGTGTTGTAGATGTCCTGCTAGGCTAGACAGCAGCTATTCCTTCACCAGCAGAGTCCCAGCTCCCCAATTGGGTCCTCCCACCCTCTCACCATCAGAGCACTGGGAAGAGGCAGTCCTGGTACTAGTGGTGGGCTCTTCAAGGAGTAAGCACTGCATGATCAGGAAGTTGCATGTAACATGGCGATTGTGAGTCCCAAGAAGACCTTCCAGACACTCTTCAGGATTCTCGCCTCAGCAAGTCAACTGCCTCTTCCGGTCTTCCTGTGCTAAATGTTCTTTGCATCTCAGCCCTCCACATCTAGAAGGCAGGCACACTTCTGCTGCCCCCACCAGCTTGCTTGACACACAAGCATTGTAGAAGGAAGGATTGCCAAATGGGGATATTTTACCCTTCAAGATTGTCCATCGCCTTGTTAACCCTCAGTAACCTCAACAGTGAATGTTGAATTGTATGCTGTTCTCTAGCCTGTAGCATCTATTCTCTTTCAGTTTACAAGGATTTGCAGTGAGCTCTTGACCCTTTCTTTCTGTATCTATGTCTACAGAAGGGTGGTGTGTGTAGTCCCAATGTGTTCTACCTCAGAGATTGTAAGCTCTACTCTCTACTGAGGAGTCTTCTCAGATGCGGAGCTGGCTAACCTTTGTGGTCCATGGAGCCCTCATCATCTGTGCATGTCTCAAGGTCCTCGTCACAAACAGAAGGCAGGCAACATCCCTCTCAGTCCATCTCTCCAGCACTCCTTGTTGTAGAAGCACAAGAGCATATCAATTGGCAGTTTTTCCTTGGAGATTTTTTTTTTTTTAATCCAAATAACATTTCATAAAATGAACATTTTTAGTCATTTTAGCCTAGTTGAAAGGCTTGTTTGGGGATAAGGGCCTCATTTAATCTTCTCAGCTTGAAGTATTCTACAGCTACTGTTTACAAGGAAAGTAATTTGCAAATTCTATGCAAAGTACCAAGTAAAAGTAGGATTATTGGGATGTGTTAAAGCCCACTAATCTTCCTATTATGGGATGGCATAGATGAAAGCATACCAATTTTTTAAATTTAAAAAGATAGTGCATGTGTGGAATGGTTGGAGGTTTCTTAAAGATGATACAAGGAATGTTGTCCAAAAAAGAAGACATGGATATCTAGGGAGCTCATGTCCTCTGATTTCCATTTCTTATTCACCCTTCTCATGTCAGGACATCATTTGTTCATTGGAGATTTATAGAGAGTTTTGCCCATATAACTCAGAGGGATGTTATCAAAGTTGAATGACTTCCATAACATAAACTGGGAAATAACCCAGGATGTCAATTCCAGGCTTTTCCCAAGGACATCATTGCCCTGTCCTCCCAGGCTCTACAAAAAAAAAAACAGGGATGTGTTACTCTCAGCCTACCCCAGAAGAGGAGCTTTGTGATGTTAAAGTTTCCAGACTATGAACACCATCCTTCTCAGAATCAATTCATGTATTTAATTCATAGCATCTAGGAAGTGAACTATTCCCAGATAACACAATCCAAACATTCTGTGCAACACCCTCCATGACCAATGAATCAACCAAGGAACATGCTCCAAAGCAACTTCTCAGAGGCCAGCAGTGCAATGACTGAGGTTAAAATGATTTAACAAGATTAGAGGACTCTCGACCCAACACTTCATCCATGAAGACCAGCTTCCACTTTCTCTCTCAAATCTATTGGTACAGTCTTGAAGACATACTTCATTTTGTTCTACTTTAACCTTGTCAAAACACTAAGCCTGCTGAGGGTCACAGGGGGGAAATACACTATTATCCATGGTACTTCTTCTGACTTCTTTACTGGAAAACTTCTAAGGGCTCAGAAACAAACCAACAAGGGGAGAAGTTAAATAAATCTGCAAAAGAATTCAAATAGAACAAAGTTAGGCAATTAGCCCAAATCAGCAATCAGGACGAGATGTCACCTAATTAAATTCAACAGTCTACAAAAGGATGTGTTCAAACAATTTCCCTTCATTATGAATTCTCTAATATAGACACTTTCCATTTAGCAGAGCATACTACAGAGAGGTGCTTCTTTTCTGTGATCTTCAAAGAGATCAGGAGCTCCTTGAATGTCTATTTTGAAAGATGCTCAGAGAAGTGAATACCAGCCAGGTTCTAAGACAGTCTAAGTGTTACTCTAGGGTCTTCTCTGGAATATATCTGTGGTGTCACCAAGCTGCACAGAATAAAGTTTAAATTTTGGTATGTTTGTCTTTTTTTTTTTTTTTTTTTAATGCCAAGCCGGATCGTTCGAGGCCAAACTCCGGAGAGTCTAACACAGCACAACGCTACATTCTGCAGGGATCGTTATGCAGAATGGCAGATGGCTGCCCAGTGCCCCCTGCCTCAATTTTCTGGCAAGGAACCTTCGGTAAGAATGAACCCAGGACCTTTTAAAATATAGCTGCCCCCAAAGCTAAAGTGACTAGAGCTTTTATATACTTGAATAAAGAACAGCCTATGTCACCACCAGATAGAGCCAACTCTTTATTAAGCGTGCTAATGGAGAAATCGAGTTATGGATCATTTAAAAAGAGGTTGACTGCCAAAAGCATGCTGTTCAGTTCTGAAATGGATTCTTATAGTTACATTAAAATGTGGGCATCCGATCTGAAGGGACATCATACCACTGAAACACAGTCACGTCTTTGGAGGAGCTGGGACACTGTTGGGCTTACCGCCTCTGCTCTTTCAGCCTCATGGGCTCCCTGACCCTCTGTCTACCTGCCTTCTCTGTCCTGAGGAGTCACCCACCCATTTCTTCCATCTCTTCTCATACTAACGTGAAGCAAAGAGCAAGAGCAGCTATAACAGAAGTGCCCCAAGGGAGTGACTTTAATGAACAGAAATTTATTTTCTTATACTTTAGGAGACGAGGAGTCTGAATGTAGGGTGCCAACTCTCAGGGAATGTTTTCTCTCTCTGCCAGCTGTTTTTCTCTTTTCAGCTTCTTTTACTCAGTAACCGACATTTGAAGAATCTAGGTGATTGGCTTTCTTAAATTCTCAAATATATTAAATTCAGCCCTGGGTTTTAAGGGTAAAAACTGCAAGGAGGAGAGAAATGGAATAAATGTACCCATTAGACAGTGATTCTTTTAATGGCCAGTATAGATTGTCTCTATCTTAAACTAAACTATCAGTAGCCACTACCCAGCCTGCATATTAATGAGGCTGATGAAGCCTGCTCTGAAATTTTCAGCTACAGTGCCTCCACAAAAAAAAAAAAAAAAGAAAGAAAGAAAAAAATCAATACTCTCCCACACCTCATGAATACAGACCAGAGCCTGCTCCTGGCAACGGATGCTAATATTCATTATCATTAAAATGGAGGAACCTGCCCACCTCTCTGGCCCTTGCGACACCTCCTTGCACACCCAAACTCATGTAGTCACTCTTTCCCATTATCCTTAATGGACCCTGATTGGAAACTTGTGTGGGCTGTGCAGTTAGCCCTTGGCTGAGCGGTACAATATTCTATTTGATGTCACATGGACGCTGAATCAGAAAGGCGCCCAAGGACACTGAAAGGTTCCACACCAGGCTGCACAACACCACTTCAATTGTATATGGTTCCATCTCTTGCTCTCTGCATCTTCTTGGTGCCTTTATCCATCTACCTTCAGTGGTGGGCCCCTCACCAGGCTATGACAGAGGATGTTTCTCCTCATAGACACTCAAATGATCAAAGAAGCCAATACATCTTGCCATCTTCCTCTGCCTGCATTTTCCCATTCTCCCTTCTTAACCCAGACTAAAAATCTTTCAAGACTCCAAGTTCCAAGGAGACCTCATGCTATCATTCTCAAATGATGCCTGGTCCATATTGGACAAAGAAGTGTCTTATTTCAAGATCAACAAAGAATAATGATAAGGCTAATACATATTAATTATTAGGGAACAATGTTAGCAAGACAGAGGGAAAGGAGATCTTTCTGTGAACTTTCACAACATGGCAATTATGTTTTCGGTGCCGTACAAGAGTCAGGATGTGCACCTGGTCCCTAGAGAACATATTGTCAAGAAAAAGAGACCATTCATAAATGTATACATAAAATCAAATTAAAACCTGCATGTTCTTATTTTCTGGTAGCAATGAAAAAACAGAAGAAAAAGTGAAAGAAACAACTTTTGTGACCACTGCTTTAAAATCAACATAGCTTTTATTTCCATCATAAAATGTTCACTGTACAGTGATTTTGTTTTTCCCCTAGCATTTTTGAAAAACAAAAAATAATGGTTAAGAATCTATTGGGAGTATTTTAGCATGAAAGGACCTTAGATACAGAATGGTTCTGCCCCTTAATTTAGAAGATAAGGAAGTTGAGGTCAAGGTGTTTTCCATTTTCCTTCCCTTGTTTCACAATGAGAATTACAGAACAACACATCAAGAGAGCAGGGCTCCTAATTCTAAGGTCTCTCTGGCTTCCTCCTCAACCCCTTTTGTCAGCTTAAGGTCATCCCCCTCAAACATTTTATTTATGTTTGTGAGTAAAGTTAAAGCATTTAGGAGAGCAAGGAGTCCTGGTGTGGTGCTGTAAGATAAATACCTGACCTCAAGGCCAGTTTGAACCACAAGATTGGCAGTTCAAACTCACCAGCCGCTCCTTGGAAACCCTATAGAAGGTCGCTATGAGTCAGAACCAACTCAATGGCACTTAATAACAACAAGAGAAGCCCCACAGGCTCATTGGGCTGCTAACTGCAAGGTTGGCAGTTCAAACCACAAGCTGCTCCTCAGGAGAATGATGAGGCTCTCTGCTCCTGAAAAGATTTGCAGCCTCGTAGACCCTGTGAGCTGGAAAAGACTTGGTGTCATTGGGTTTGTTTTATTGGTTTAAGGTACCAAAATAATAATGTTCTCCAACTCTCTCACTTTACAAAAGAGAAAATTTGAAAGTGAAAGACCATGGAGTTTGTCTATGGACACAGAGTAAAGGATGGTAGTCCCAAGACTAGAGCCAGGTGTCCTAAGACCAGTCCACATTTAAGTTGGCCATGTGCTCTCCTGCTTCTTGTCTTCTTGCCCTTGTGTATCCTGTTGGTCACCGTTAGGATAATCTCTTAGTATTCACCTCTTGCCATGTCTCTCCCTCACACTTAACGTCCAGGGTCTCCAGAAGCATCAGAGTAATACAACTGGAACCGTATGTAAACGAGAGTTGAGTTAGAGCTCTTATAGTTGAATTACTGCCTTACATTATAATCCCTGAGCAACGAGTAAAGAACAGTTACCCATTCCATTTAATCAGCATGGAGAAGCCAGAGACCATGACTGATTTGACACCACCAAAATGAGATGTGTGACACCCCAAATGATTCTGAAAAGGACATGGAAGATGATTTGTAGAAATACCCAAAGACAATACAAGTGTGTTTGCAAAATAACTCTCTTAGCCCACATAAAAAGAATTGCATTATGTTATCATTTCTGTAAATAGCCAAAGCAATTCTGAAGACTCTCTCTGGCTCATTCAGGCCTAAGAGACCTAAGAGCACATTGCCTTGGCTCAGCCCCATGTCTACACCGCCTGCCTTTTCCCCACTCTAATCATCACTGCCTTACCCACTGCATGAGTAGACAGAAGTTTTCGTCTCTCTGCTATGCTGAACACACTGCTCAGCCCTTAGGAAGGCAGAAGAAGTGGGTCAAATTGCTTTGAGTTCATGCATAAATCTAGTTCCTGCATAAAAATAGAAGGGTCTGAGAAAGAAGCTGAGGGGTGAATGAAGGTGAGAAGAAACAGCATGTAAGGAGATTCAGAAATATAAACAAGAAAACAAAAGATAACTAACCAACTGTAAAAATAAGGCTGAAGGGTATGTGACCTGCCAGTGGGAGAGATGGTCGGGAAAGCAAGGAGGAGAGTAATGAGAGCATAGGACAGTGAATTGGAATCAGTGCATCTTTACTGAATATCTGAATGTACATAAAGAATGAGACATCCTTTCTGCTCCCAAGACTGGATACAAGAAGAAAGGTTTGATGCATTTAGAACCCAAAGGAAGGAATTCAGAAAGGTGATAAGCCTTGGGGTGTCCTGGGGTTCCATAAGATAAGCACTGGACTTCACACCACAAGGACAGCGATTCAAGCCCACCTGCCACTCCATGGGAGAAAGATGGTCTTTCTGCTCCCACAAAGGTTTAAAAAGCCTCAGAAACCCTCTACAAGGTCGCTACAAGTGGGAACTGACTCAACAGCACTTAACAACACAATAACATGATATGACTTGAGTTCTATTCCCAGCTTTGCTGGAATCTTGTTTTGTCTCCATGTTGTTGTTGTTAAGTGCTGTCGAGTTGAATCCAACCCATAGCGACCCTGGGTTTCTGAGGAGCGACTGGTGAGCTTGAACCATCAACCTTGCAATTCAACCCAGTTTAGCAGTCCAGCGCATTAACCCATAAAGCCACACCAGAACTCCTTAGTCAACAACCAAAACCCACTGCAGTTGAGTTGACTTTAACTCATGACGACTTCCTGTGTGTCAGTCTAAAACTGTTCTCCCTAGGGTTCTCAGTGACTGATTTCTCAGAAGTAGATTGCTAGATCTTTCCTCCTAGGAACCTCTGGGTGGATTCAAACTGCCAACTTTTTGGTAGTTAAACACTTAACCTATTGCTCTGCTCAGGGACTTGATCTTTCTAAGAAAGTCATAGCTATTCCAAAAGCATATATATACATTTGTTGACCAAGAACAATTGTTCTTGTTAGATGCTGTCAAATCAGTTCCAATTCATAGCGAACCTGTGCACAATAGAACGAAACACAGCCCAGTTCTGCGCCATCTTCACAATTATTGTTACACTTGAGCCCGTTGTTGCTCCCTCTGTGCCAATCCATCTCATTGGGGGTCTCCCTCTTTTTCACTGGCCTTCCACTTTACCTTATGGAGAAGCATAATGTCCTTCTCCAGGGACTGGTCCCTCTTGAGAACATGTCCAAAGAAGTGTAAGAGACAAAGTCTTGCTGTCCTGGCTTCTAAGGAAAATTCTGGTTGTACTTCTTCCAACAGGGATTTATTTGCTCTTCTGGAAGTCTACTGTACTGCCATTAACATCCCAACATCCAATGAGTTATGGGTCTCTTAATTTTTTTGTAAAACAAGTGTTTGTAGCAATTTCTGTTGTATAGAAAGAAATGTTGTTACTCTTGAGAAAAGGCAGTCTCGTATTCTAGAAGTAAGTCAGACTTAGTTTCCAGGCAGATCTTTGTTCAAATCTTTAGACCTTTATATCTTTATGACTGTAGACAAAGTGGTTTGATCTTGCTGAACCCAGGCCTTCTCTTCAGTAAAATAAAGATTGTACCATATGCCTCCAAGGATTGTTTGATATTAGATGTAACTACCAGAACCACACCAAGCCCACTGCCACTGAGTCCATTCTGAACCATAATTCAGAGTAGAACTT